TGTCCTCACCATGACAGCCCCTCCAGCTCCATGGGCCCCGGCGGAGCGCCTTGCCACATGCGCCAACCTCAGTATGGAACCGCGGCCCGCACAGCCCCAGCCCACCGGCATGCGGAGGGCGCCGGCCTGCTTGTGCTGCGGAGTGCAGGCCCAGCGCGGGGCGTTGTTCCCTGAGTCCTAGCTCAAACACCTGCTAGCTGTAGAACCATTGGACAAATTACTGAACCTCCCTGTTATCTTAGTTTTCTTAACTGTATGATGAGCCCGAAAATAGTACTTACCCCAGATATTGAGAGGCATACTTGAGATAACAATAGTACCTACCTGAGGAATAGTTATCAGCAAGCATTTGGGTAGTCAGTAGATTTAGAGATGCTGATAACCCAGGACCAAGATGGAAACAAACTGGACTAGGAAGATGGAGTCTGCTATTGCAACATGCTTTTCAGATAACAGTGACCTAAAATACCTGGTACTGGTATTGTATACATTGTCTCACAGGGGGATTTAGAAAATTGCAATTATTTTCAAAGAGAACACTGCAGCAAAAAATGTGTTAGGTGACTATGTTTTTCTGCCTCTTTATGTGAGTCATTTCTATTATATGCAAAAGCCTCCAATATTTTTATGAGCAGGACCACATTGAGCCAAAACTTTGAGACACTAGGGGAAGCACAGAACGAGGAGAAAAGAATTAGGAAGGAGCAAGGTCCTTTGCTGGGTTCCCTTCCATGTGGGAATCTGGACAAAACCAGAGAGGGAACATGATTGTGATACCTAAGTCTTAAGCACAAGCCACCATCATGGCAGGAATATTATTAGCTAGTTCACTAATATTTCTACAACCAAGACCATTTATTTACCTTAGATTCAAACTCAAGTAATATTTAATGCAACTGTTATCTCAATTATACCTCTCAGTATCTGAGATAGGAACTATTGATATTCTCATTGTACAGTAAACTAAGATCCAGAGAGATTAAATAATTTGTTCAAGGTTCTATAGTTAATAGGTGTTTGATATTATTCAAATGACATGAAAAAAAAAATAGGTGTTTGAACTAGGACTTAGGGCAAGAAACTTATTGTTGCAAAACTAGAGTTTGGGTTCCAGTTCGGACCGTAACTAACTGTGGGACCTTAGGGGAGTTATTCTGACTTTTTCTGAGCTTTAGTTTTCCTTTATAAAAGATAATACTAAAAAAAAAAAAAAAAAGATAATACTGTAATATGGGCTCTGCCTATTCCATAACATTGTTGTGAAGATTGAAAGAAATGATAGAAATAAAAGTACTTTAGGGCTAAACCTTTTTGAAGAGATCCTCCTCTGTAAACCTGGGACTCTACCTTTATCCATCTCCCACCCACTCCTACTTTCCTTTCTGTCTCTGAAGAAGATGGAAGAGGGAGAAACACTGTCATGGTTTCCTACTTACACTCTTTCCACATGGGTCATCTTTTCCTTAATCCCCTTACCAATGTTTCCTCAAAATGGTGCTGTGGCTTTGATAGTTGCTTATTTATAATGTTAAACATCCATTTATCCTATTCTACTCTTAGGTGTTTACTCAAAATAAATGAAATGTCCACAAAAAGATTTGCACATGAATGTTCACAGCAGCTTTATTTATATTTTCCCCAAACTGGAATTAACCCAATTGTCCATCAACAAATGAAAGGAAAAACAATTTGTGGTATATTCATACAATGGAATATCATTCAGCAATAAAATAAAAGTGAACTACTGATTCACATAACATGGATGAATCTAAAAAACACTACATTCAGAGAAAGAAGCCAGACACAAAAACATACTACTGTATACTTCCATTTACTGAAGTCCTAAAACAGGCAAAACTATAGTGACAGAAATCAGAGCAGTAGCTGCCTAGAGGGATAGGGACCAAATGGGAAAGTCTATGAAGGAAGTTTCAGGAGTATCCTAAATGTATCTTGGTTACACACATGTAGACATTTGTCAGAACCAACCAAATCGAACACTTTAAATCTGTGCATTTCACTATGTATAAAGTTTATCTTACATATACACACTGAAATAAAAAATCCTACCCTGGCTCCCCATCTCTTCTTACTATGTTTCCCAAAGCATGGGGACTGTGAATGAATAAAGAAATGGTACTTGGGCTTACTTGTCAGGTAAGATAATAAAAACAAAAGCAAAAATAGTTACAAAGGTACTTCAAAAAGTTCACAGAAAGATTTGTATTATCTTTCAATTTCATTTTTCTTATTTACTTATTTAATATGTGAAGTACCCTCATATATTAAATAAGTAAATAAATAATAACAGCAAATAAGTATCTGGTGCTTATTGTGCTAAAGCACTTTGGAAGCATTTTATGTGCATTAATTCATTTATTCCTCACAACAACCCTAAGAGGTAGAACTATTATTAGTCACATTTTACAAATGAGGAAACTGAGGCACAGAGCAATTTAGTAACTTGACTGTACACTAGTAAGTGATGGAACAGGTTCAGAACAAGGAAATCTGACGTTAAGGTCAACACTGTTCTCCACTATAGGCCACTGTCTAGCATCATCAATAATAAAAAGCAAACTAACACCTGGTTAAAGTGAAATAAAGACTTATGTATAACAATGTAATATAATAATAGCTACCATTTTTAAATAGCTACTATTTTCCAGGCAAACATTATCTTTATTTCAATAACTCTATAAAAGTATTTTTCAGAAGAGAAAACTAAGGCTCAAAGAAGTTAAATGACTTGCCCAAGGTCACAGAACTAGCAAGTGTTGACCAAAGTCTCTTAACTCCTAAGCCCATGTGCTTTGTGTAGCACATGATGTTGCCTTTATTTATAGTCCACTCACATGTTAGGATATTTAAAAATGACTGCTTCCTTTTCCCTTCATTGTACAGGCTAAACTCAAACTACATGGGCTTCTGTGAGTGGGTAATGTGGCCCTAACTTTTAAAATAATTTAAAAAATTTTTTTGATATGTGTATGCTACAAAATTCAAAAACTTCAAAATGGTATACAGTGAAAAGTCAGTCTCCTTCCCACTCCGGACCAAAGCCCCACAGTTCCGGCCCCCTTCATCAGAGGCCACCATACTTCTTGTTTCTTTCAAGTACCCATTCAGAGATAGTGTATTGATATACAAGCCTGTGCACACAGCTTTTACATACATAGCTGTATATATATGTCCTTTTTCCATTCCATAAGCCATAGCATATTATTCATACTATATTGTACCATGCTCATTCATTTACCAATTTATCATGTAAATCGTTCCCATTGGAAGCTTTTTTTAACGGCTGCATAGAATTGACTTAATTGGATGTACCATAATTTATTTAACCAGCTCCCTATTGATAGATATTTAGGTTGTTTCCACAGTAGTGACAACTTAAAAGGATTCCCTTCTATGTGCAAGTAATTCTTTCCCGCATCCTCTGGCTAACAGTGTGTATAGTCTTGAAGTGATTTCCTGTTCTTTCCTTTTTCAGTCCCTTTCACTGCCAAGTCTTATTCAATCATTTCTCTGTCTCTCTTGACTGACATATCTTTCTTCTCATTTCCTCGGTCTACATTTCAGGTCTTTGTAAGTGTCTCCCCTGACCTGCCCTAGTCATATTCCTGTCTCCAGGCCTCTCTCTACTTTAATACATTCAGCACACAGCTTTAGGAATCATCTTCCAAAATCATTGCTTTAATTATGACACTTTATTACTACCACTAAAAAACTTCAAGCAACCTCTTATTATTTACCAAATCCAAATTTCACACTCTAGACCATGAAAGAGAAGGGGGAAGCACACTAAAACTAACTGAATGTCTATGAGTGTACCAAGTGCTTTACAAACATCATTTCATCTAACACTCCCCCAAATCTTACAATTTTGTAGGTATTATTATCCCCATTTTACAGTCAAGGAAACAGAAGTTCAGAGAGATTTGCGATTTGTCTAAGGTTATCTAACTAGTACCTACCTAGTTGAGTGAGGATACAAATTCTATTTGTCTAATTGCAAAGCACATGCTTTTAATCACCAAGCTACACTGTTTCCTAAATGGAGATAACATTATCCGATTCATGATGATGTGAGAATTAACTGAAAGGATTCAGGTGAAAAACACCCAGCCAGAGCTTCACATGGCTGCCTCCTTCCCATCATTCAGGCCTGAGCCAAAATGTCACCTCCTCAGAGAGGATGTCCCTGACTATCCTAGCCCCAAAATAGCAACTTTTCATATAATTCCATATTGTCTAACTGTTTACCCCATTTTAGTTACTTTCTAGCACTTTACTACTCTCTGAAATTTATTAATACATTTATTTGTGTGTTTTATTACCTATCTCTCCTTACTAGAACATAAGTCCCAGGGGGTACAAACTGTGTCTACTTTGTATACTGCTTTGGCTCAATGAATAAATGCTCAAATATTTGTTGCAGGAATGAATTAACAGCTCAGTTTGTAGAGGAAATTTCTTACTTTTGGCTTCTATGAATTAAAAAAACGAAACAATTCAATATAAATCAACTCTAGCCCATTCATATTACCAAAAATGAAGAAAAAATTTTACTAAAAGAAGTTAAAAAAAATTTAAAATACTTAAATTCTCATACTACTACCATAGGTAGAAAATAACATCACTGGGAGGGGAGATCAAGGCTCAGAGATGTTCAATTATGTGTCCAAGTTAGTAAATGGAGGAGCCAGGATCTGAACTCAGGTTTATTTGACCCAAAGCCCATGTTCTTAACCATTATATTAGACTGCCTTTCCCAAAAGAAATGGGTAGATATAAGCAATCAGATCCAAGACAATTTTGACTTTAATAAAGTATTTTGGGACATCCTTCGATCAGTCACCTCTTCAGTAATCAGTAAGAACTGCCCCTGAAAAACCTGGCATTATTTGCAACAAGTGACCAGAAACCCTATCAAGAAAGATTATTTATTGTATTTACTTCAGTCTTTGGTTCTGAAACATCAAACCATATCCTACCTGGGCAGCCTCGTAAGTGATGGTCTTGGTCTCGGTGTGAACAATAGGGACATCTGTGGTTGGGATTTCACTTTTCACAGCATTGGCGGTATCTGAGAGGGTGACAGTTTGAGTCTTCACCAGGGGAGGCTGTGAAGCAGTAAAAAAACAGAGTTACCAGAATCTTTCTGAAGGCTGTGGGAAACTAATCTTCTGACATTGATCTGATCAAAGTGTTAGTTTTAATCTAGCTAGGGGTGCTCAATATCCAAAGGTGTTTACTCTGCCCAAGACTTGGACACTCTTCCAAAGTAGCCCTGACAAAAAGTCAAATTATGAGGGATATTAAAAAGCAGCATTACTGTAATCACTTTCATAAGCTTAATGGAAAGCTATAAGATCAGACAGTTATGACTGGAGGTATAAAACACATCAGACTGACCTTCAGAATCTGAATGTAAAACTTTGCAAATAACAATCATTTCATTTGTCCTTTTGACTGTACCATTATAATTAAGAAAAACAGCCACATTTCCTCATCTAAGTACAAATGGTACGTGAAATGGCAGTGGCACTGGAATGCATTACCCTGGAATTCATTAACTTCTTTCAAATCAATGTCAGATATTCACTTTGGAGTTACTGAGAAGAAACAGTATTTGGAAAACTGGAAAGAAAAAAAATCAGTTCTACCACCACCTGGTGATTAATCTCATCAGAATTTAAGAAGAATGAACATTAGTGGAGTATCAAAGGCTTTCTTGTCCATTTGCTCACCTTCCCCAAGATTATAAATCACCCTAAAACTACCCTTTGATTACGATACGATTAAGTGGCCATACACCTTAGCAAAGAAAATCAATGCCTAGGCTCATGGAAGCCCTGTCGGTGGGATCAGCGGGAGTGATGGGCTGCATGGTGTGGCTGTAGTACATAAATTATAATTTGGGTCCTGAAATCTCATAAGAAGATCAGTTGCACCTTTTAATTAAGGCTATTTGAATTTTTGAGCATGGTCTCAGAACAGTGAAGGCTCCTCACCATAGAAGTCTCCAAAATCCACCTCCTTCCATGGCCCATACTTGAGCAAGAAAAAGAGGAACATACTTACACCTGCTTCATGAAGATAAATAACTGGAGTTTACTCCCAAGAATTTTGTTAAGTCATCAGGGAAGAAGGCATTTCTAGCAATGGAGTTAATTCCTCCAAATGAATGTCTTTGCAGCAATCAAAGGCTTTAATTTTACTCTGTGATTTTGAAAAAAGCAGAGAGCCACTACCCTCACCACTACCACCACCACCACCACCACCACCTCTTCCACAGAACAGATTTTGGCCCTCTCCCAAAGAGAGTCATTAGACCTGCATCATCAAACCAGTCACTACCTGGAAACTTCGAATGAAGGTGGGGAACTGGTTACCCATACAAGAGTCAAGAAATGATCCATTTTGTTTTCCAAGTGGCTCTCCTGGTGTAACATGTTCTTCACTACTCTCTGCCTTTTTTTCACCAAGTCGCAGCTGACAGGAAGCTGATGTTACTGAGAATTTTAAGGCACTGGCCTGTTCCTCCACTCCTATACATTCCCCACTTGGCATCTCCTTAATATCAAGACAGCCAGCTGCCCCCTGCTCCTTCTCTTCTGTCTCCTTGCTGCTTATGGAGAGGGAGCCAAAGTGAAAGCATTGCGGAGACTCGGACGGGGTGCTCATCTGGCTCTCACTATGAACTACTGAATGCTTGGGGCCCTCCCATTCAGAGTCAGGGTTAGTAGATGGCCCCTTTGTCACGACAGCCACCTCCTCTGTGCGAATGCCATTTGTACTCTACAAATGAATAAACACATACAAAAGCAAGAATATTAGGAATAAGTGGGGAAATACAATGAACTCTGAGAATCAACAGCAATTTTTAAGATGCCCCCCAAATATTAATACTAATACAAACCAAGAATATTAGCTCCTAAAATTGTCAAAAGGAAGAACTGCTGTTAATTACATATATCAGCAGCTTAAGCAGTTCCAACCTCATTTTGGCCATTTTTCTATAACACTGTTAATCTGAGAAAAAATTTCAATGTGTCTCACACAGCACCCAACACTTCATATTCCTGTGGCCTTTCCTGTCGAACATATTCTCTTCATGCTTAAAGGAGTTACTCTGCTATTCCTAAATACCTAACTTACTACTCTGCACAGAACATGATGCAATTTATGAGTCAATTAAAAACCACTCTTAGGAGCCTGATCAGGTTGAAAATGTTTCATTTCTCCAAGTTATATGTATCATCATACATCTTCTATCGGAGAAGCTAAAATCTAGACTTTGGTTGGCAGGGAGATAGAAGTGGAGTATATCCAGCACAGACTTACTACAATCATTGTCATGGCATCAAACATGATATCAAAAATAGTGAAATTATTTTGTAAACAGAATAAAAATGACCCAGCAACTGAGATGTATTTCTTCACAGATAAGTGACATAAAAACTCCAATTTCAAAAGAGAAATAAAGCCTGGAGACACAGAGAGTTCCCTCCTGGACTAAATGCCTCGCACCATAGGAAAAATAGTTCTAAAATAAGTACACTGAAGAGAACATGGATGAGAAGATAACCATTACAGTAGATAGACCTATTCCAGAAGTTTAAAAAGGTACTTTAGGTGGAAGAAGAGAAAAAGGAATTCATACTAGTAGGAAGGGAATGTGAGCCATTTGATAAATGAACAATCTAACAGAAGCCAAGTGTCATGGCAAATAACACCTGCAGGTGCTCACCAGAAAGGTGTAAATAAACCATTTAGGCCTGAAGTTTTGGTAAGATCATTTTACCACATTACACACTGTATAGGAATTTAATAACAGAAAGGTTCTCTCTTCTTTTTCTTTCTGGTAGCTGGCTGGTATAGGGATCCAAACCCTTGACCGTGGTGTTGCCAACAACGCACTCTAACCAAATGAGCTATTCGGCCAGCCCTGAAAAGTTCTCTTTTAAGAAGGTGTTCCTTCCAATCCAGGAGCATGGGATGTCTTTCCATCTTCTTGTATCCTCTCTAATTTCTCTCAGGAGTGGTTTATAGTTCTCGTTATAGAGATTTTTCACATCCTTAGTTAGTTCAAATCCTAGGTATTTTATTTTTTTTGGCGGCTATTGTGAATGGGCAGGCGCGATTCTTTCCATGTCAGAGAAAAATGTCATAGGAATTTTAATGGGGATTGCATTAAATTTGTAGATAACTTTGGGTAGTATAGTCATTTTCACTATATTGATTCTTCCAATCCAGGAGCATGGGATGTCTTTCCATCTTCTTGTATCCTCTCTAATTTCTCTCAGAAGTGGTTTATAGTTCTCGTTATAGAGATTTTTCACATCCTTAGTTAGTTCAATTCCTAGGTATTTTATTTTTTTGGCAGCTATTGTGAATGGGCAGGCTTTCTTGATTTCTCTTTCTGCTTGTTCACTATTGGTGAAAAGAAATGCTACTGATTTTTGTGTGTTGATTTTATATCCTGCTACTGTGCTGAACTCTTTTATCACCTCTAAGAGTTTTTTAATAGATGATTTGGGCTGTTCGATATATAGGATCATGTCATCTGCAAACAGGGACAGTTTGACTTCATCCATTCCAATCTGGATGCCCCTTATTTCCTTCTCTT